AAACCTTTCACGCACAGGACTATTCTCTGTAAAGTAGTATACAGTGGTGCCTCGCTTAACGAGCACACAGTAGAACAACGGATCCGCATAGTGAGGGGGTTTTTCGATCGCAACTGTGATCGCAAAGCGATGGCCTCTATGACCGAAACTCGCATAGCGAAGGTCGGTAAGCATTTCGCTTACCGACCTTCGCTTTGTGACCCGCGGATCAGCTGTTCGGCGGCTCCAAAATGGCCACCGGAAGCTCCAAAATGGCCACCGGAAGCCCCAAAATGGCCGCACACAGCGTTTTCGCGCCCTCGGTAAGCGAGGAGAGGGCGCAAAAATGGCTGCCGGCCATAGGAAAACATCACTGAACGGTGAGTTTTCGGCCCATTTGGAACGGATTAAACGATGTTTAATGCGTTCCAATGGGTTTTCTTGATCCATTGAGCGATGTTTTCACATAGCGAGGGTTAATCCGGAACGGATTAACCTCGCTATGCGAGGCACCACTGTATATTTTACCCTGAATTAACAGAGCACATTTTTTCCTATTATGCACTTTTGAGGGCTGGAAAGTAGTTTCCTGTTGATTAGAAAAGAATATCCACCTTCACTCTCTGAGTTAACATTACATTTTGCTGCTCTTTTAGAGTTGGAGGGATCTATCTGTTCCATAAGTTTTTGATACATATGTTACTGCTCTCTTTTGTGCTATGTCATGCTCCATATTCTGTTTAAAGATAAGATGAATGGTGCCTGCTATCTAACCCATCTTAGCCCCACAATTTGAGGAATAAATGATATGAATTACCTCCATAATAAGACAATAAACTTGCTAACATTACAGTTATTTTTTAAGTGGGAGTTTAAAGAGAAATGTCATTATTGTTCATTCCAACACGGTCAGACTGAAATATCATTTGTAAACTTGAATCATTCCTTTGGTTACTTTCCAATTGTTGTACTGTAGTTAATAAGTTCAGATATGTGCAGCAGCGGGAGCATCTGTATCTTATCACATATAACTTTTCCTGATTATTCCTCAAAAGGCAGACTAAACATACAGTTTTGACATAATACAGCATCACATTTGTATTTCTGGTTTGCACAAATGCCTCTACCAGCTGAACTAATCTCCCTCCATGACCTCAAGGGAATCCAGTGGAAGAGCTTATGCTGTTAAAGGCCAGGAACAAACTTTTTCAATCCACATATTTGACAAATAACCCAAAATCTGCAAAAACATACCATTGTACAAGCTACATCCCTAATTTCTTAATTTAAGGATGAATACAATAATTGCAACCTCCAGTCCATGTTCGGTAAATTGTGAATGTGTGTGCCGTGTATCAGAGAGATAGACTAATCTTGCTACAGCCTCTTATTGCTCAAACCTCTTCTTTTCCCCAAAGTTTGTATGGCTAGGTGGTAAAACCTTGAGGACGAGAAAATGTACGACTGCTGAGAGGTATTTTGGAGCCAGTATGTGGCAGTGGCAGTTATAGCGAAACTATAATTAAAGTAGGAACTTAGAAACCATGTGTTCTAATGCCTACATCCAAAGAGCTGTGTAGTCTACTGCCTCTGCCAGTGAATCTGTTTGGTCAATCATTCCCACTCACATCTCAACAGAAAAAAAACAACAAGCTTTCTGACATCTAGGGAAGACTTAGACATTAAAAGGTGATGAAGAAATGCTTTAAATAAATTAAATAAATTATGACATAAGCTTTCACAGACCAGAGCTCGCTTCCTTAGATGCATGAAATGATGCTTTAGCTGGCAGATTTTTATACATGCTTAAGAGTGGGCAGGAAATGCCAGCAATGACAAGGAAATGGAAAGACGAGTAATACTGACAGTGATAAGTGTGATAACAGCTGCAATTCACAAGACTGTTGTTTGGTCATCATACAGAAATCACTGTACTGGTGAGTTAATTGATACATGCAGTGTGCTTTTTAAAAACTGCTACTGTTCTAGAGCTGAATTTCTTGCTGAATTATTCAGTGATTTAGCACTGAAATCTGTCTTTGAATTTCCTTTGTACAGCATTGGTATATTGAGGCTACAGACCAAAACCTGAAATGTGACCTCTCCCCACTTTATTTTGAACATTGTTCTGATGGTACACTTGTAGTTTTTATTGTTAATGTTCTTATATAGACTGGTTTGTTTGATCTAAATACAGTGTAGAAAGGCACTGCTGGCAAATGATGGCACATATCAGATTAGAATAGGTATATGAACACCTGATATTGTAGATCCCAATAATAGATCCTGTAATAGTGTTGTAGGAAAAGAGATGGAGACCAAATTAACCTCTTGGTCTGGTTCCAGTCTCTATAGCTTACCTGTCCTGTAGCTGGTAAGATTCTCCCCCCTTTTTTTGGGTCAAGGGATAATCTGCAACAGGGTGGGCACCCCCAGATGTTTGAGGGCAGCCCATGCCCAGCTCTGGATCTTGGAGGACCACTCCCACATTCTGCCTTTTTGTAAAAACTGAAAAAGCAACCTGTAATAGCCATATTCGCAATTAACATGGGGTACAGGGCACCAAGAGTGCTGGAGGAATCCAGAACACATGGCAAAATTGCCTTGTAAAGGGCAAAAAGGACTTCTTGAGCCAAATTTGTTGGGAGTGGGGGGGGCAGCACACTTTGTCCACCCCAGGTAAGGGTAAAGGTTCCCCTTGACATTTAGTCCAGTTGTGTCTGACTCTAGGGCACAGTGCTCATTCCCATCTCCAAGCCGTAGAGCCAGCATTTGTCCATAGACAGTTTCTGTGGCCATGTGGCCAGCGCGACTTAGACACGGAGCACCGTTACCTTCCCACTGTGGTGGTACTATCTATCTACTTGCCTTCGTACTGCTAGGTTGGCAGGAGCTGGGACGAGCAACGGGGGCTCACTCCGTCACGTGGATTCAATCTTATGACTGCTGGTCTTCTGACCTTGCAGCACAGAGGCTTCTGCAGTTTACCCCGGAGTGCCACCATGTCCCCAAGCCATAAGCAATTCAAGGTCTGCTGTGTATTGCCTATGTAAAGAAAGTGCCACTTGACACTCTTTGTAGTAATGGTTTTATAGGGGAACTGAGAAAAACGTCTTGGAGGCAGCAATAGGAAACTGACCTCTTTCTTTACTGTGTACATAAAATACTGGTGGATAATGCTATTCATTGAATTTTTAAAAAAGTTGGCAAAGAAAAAGGCAATTTATTTTGTACTAGATAGGACTCTTGGGATAGGGTCCTGAAAATTATGTTTCTGGCCGATAGCTACAGAGTTCACTTTCAGTGTATCTGAATGCTGGCCTTTTTCTAAAAAAATTGCTAATGCTTCTTGGAAATGAGAAAGGAGCTAGGAATTTACGTAACATTGCATTAATGGACTATAGGTGACTCAAAGCTGACCCACGAGTAAACAAGAACCACACTAGAGATTTCTGTGGAGTCATATCTCCCAGTTTGTTTCTATTTGTTGTTCTCTTTTTGTGCCACATTGAATGGTTGGGGGCAGGGAGAAGGCACCTTAAGCCATGTAGGCTGTATGCTACCCACCTAGGCCCTGTGCTGCTGCCATGTTATGACTAAATTGTAAGCCAATATATTACAGGATAAGGCTGGGGCTCACATACCCCTGTTTTATACCTCTGCTTTGCATTTGAAAAGAATTTCAGGGTAGGCAACTTGAGAAGTAAAAAACTGATCTTATTTATAACCTTAGCACTTTTGCAGTAGATCCTATTAGAGATTTTAGATTATTAATAAGAACAACTATACAACACATTTCTCCTATCTGTGAAGTCCCAAAACTTTGGATCAGTGTCCCATCTTGTGCAGTACAGGATTTTACCCATCACACCTCTTCACTCATGTATCTCTGGTTCTCAAACTCTAATGATACACTTGCTTATTCTCACATTTTGTTTTATATTCCTTTCTTGTGGGTTAAGTGTACGTTAAAACTAGTTGTTCAGCATTAACATTTCTACAAACAAATACACAGAACTGACTGGAAAAGCAACATTCTACAATTTTTAGTGAAGCAAACCAGTTTGGGCCAAATTCCTCAGACACTGTGGAAGGAAAAAATTAGAAAACTTAGACACTGTACTCAAGACAAGTGTGAGCTATGATCAAAGCTGATCTTCAGTGCCCTCCTTGTTTCAGTCCTAGAATTCTGCAGAAGGAGTGGGGCAGCTTTTTGTTTTCTAATCTGAGCACGTAGTAAATGATGGGTTGGGAAAGCTCAATGGTGCCGCTCGGTGGATTTTTATTGCTAGTTCACATAAACAAAGAAACTGAGTTATTCAGAATCAGGGCACTTGTTTGTCAGGATTTCAAGCCTCTAATGGACAAATCTGTATTGCAGCATCTTGAAGAAAATCCTAGTTACTGCACTGTGAAAAACAAACAATCCTCTTGACTCTTTAAACCAAACTTTATTTCATCTACAGATGTTTCTTTCCACACGATTTGTAGACATAGATAACTCGCGCTCCAAATATGCCTGTAATGCTGATATCCAATTGTCAATAACAGAATTGTGTATATGCCTCACTGGTGTGTGTATGTGTGTATGTGCAGAGCCATTTAATCTGCATAATTTCTTTTTATAGATGTCAAGGATGTTGACTGTAGCATAATTATAAGGCAATGAACTAGAGCCATTGTAGAAGTTTATTTTTACATGAAGGATGATAAAAAAAGATTGCCAAATTCTGATTACAGTGAAACTGAGGGAGGGAATCCAGGGCCTTAATGATATTTCATAAAATAAGTGAGTTGAATATAAGTTGTACATGCTGGCGGAAAAAAAAGTAATCCCTGAGACAACAGGCTGAAGTTTCTGTTCTTAGCCTTAACATATATTTTGTTCTCTTTCCTTTATTAAGAATATCTGAATTTGAGCATAACAGGATTAAACAGGGGAAATTATAAATACTGTACCATTCTTGGAAAAAATGTTAATGTGCCTTATTATGTACTGTAGTTTTTTTATTTTTTGGCAGGGAGAGGGAAGGAAAGAAGAAGAAAGCCAAAGAGGGAAGAAAACAAGGAAACCAGTCAGGAAAACAGAGGCCAGGAATCCAGAAGGCAAAACAGAGAACAGGAAAACAAAAGTAAAATACGATCAAAGAAAAGAAGAACAGAGGATAAACAGCAAAAACTAGCATCCATTAGCACTACACCCTAATTGCCTTACACCACTGTTTAAGATTTTTGCTGCTGCTATCTCCACCAGGTCCCCGGAACTGGTGCTCCACAATACAGGCCACAAATGGACAATATTACCAGTTATACTTAAATCTTAAACAACATTCCAAATAATTGCTATTATATTCTTCATGCAGTCATGGTTTATTCAAGAGACTGACATGAGCCAAGAAAATAAACTTTGACTGGGATACTTCCAATCTGCTCTATTATATGCTTCCAAGCATCTCCAAGAGGCAATTAAAAAGTTTTGTACATAATTATCAATATGGTAATAAAGCATAGCAATATACTGAATGGCATTTGGAAAAAAAAACCCACCTTTTTCTCTTGTAAAATATTTTTTCCGATCTATTGTTTATGATGCAAGAGATATGCACATAATTTTATAAGCATTATGTACAAATAGGAAAGAGTGGCTGAAATCCTATTGCAAGAGAAGGCCCACTGAGCCAGTGGGGATTTGGTGCGTCAACTCCTTCATAGGTTCCATTAGTTCAAAGGTTTCTACTCCATGTGTGACTTGTAGCAAGTCATAACTGGAATAGAAATATTTGAATCAAAGGAGCTGACTCAATAAATCCCCACTGATTAAACAGGCCTACTATAGACCAACCAATGCTAAGCAACAGGATTTCAGGCAACGGAAATCTGTTTTTTCATACCCCACAGTCTGTCAGAACTAAGCTACCTGTATTTACCTGTATTTAATCCCAAATTCATGTGAGAAATACCTGAGTGAGTATCTCCATGGCTCTGAAAGCAAAGGGAGAAAAAGAAGTGGAAGCAACGGTAGACATGTTGGAGGCTCTTCCAAGGAATAAAGGCGCTTAGCTATGCAGCGCTCTTACCTGCAAGACAGCACAGTTCTTCTGGGCTACCTTATGATTATACAGCATGTGCTGTTCAATGCTTTTTGTAATTTTGTGTAACTTAAATCTTTTCGAATCTTCCAGACTGGCAAACTGTACTTGTAGAAAAAAAAAAAGAGAAAACACTGAGTGAATAAAGAACAGAGCAAACTGACCGCAGAAACAGAAATTCATTTGCACTGATTCCCTACTACCACACTTTTAATGAAAAACTGTCACACGACCTGCTTTGTAAATAAAGGGATGTTGTTCTTTAGAAAGTTTCCTAATAAACTAAGACCAGTTTCCAGAATATTGGATGGTATTCAACTACTCTTGCCTACAGAATGATTTCCATCTGTGGAATGGGAAAAGTGACAATTTCCCCTCTTAACTACACCACAGCCACCAGGAAACCTTCAAGAGCAGATTTCATAAAGTTTAGGGATTGCTGGGAGAATAAAAGAGGGGAAGGCTGCATAGGGAAATCCACTATGTAATGTTGAATTTTATGTGTATGTGTAGCTGAAGTGTGGATGGTTAAACTTTGGAATGAGTTCTATAGCTCTGCTTTCAGCAAGGTCTTTATCCATAGCAAGTAATGGGTAAAGCTCCCTGCATTGTGGAGACGAATGTAATGACCTGCTAATTAATGCAAAACAAGATGCTTTTAAGGCATAGCTAGGTGGGGCAACTCAAAGAAATGGCAACTATAGCTCAAACTATAAAAGTTCAGTCCTACAGCCTGGTGAAACTTATCACAGAATATTTGTACTGTTGAATTTACACAGTTCACAGAAACAACTGGCACAGTGGTATAAATTCCATTTGTCTCACTTCTTGTAAATCCACTAGGTGTAGCTCACTAACTGAGCTACAGGTGGGAAAAATATCCCCAGTGTAAAGTCACCAAGAATGAGAAAAATTGGTTTCATGAAAAGCTGAACCACTCTAACTGCACTTTGTGAGAGGCAGTCTTTATTTTGCTTATCATTTACAACTAAATCTAAATTTTTCCTGAGGATTGAGACATATACTACCTTTTCATGAAGGTGATGTGGTAACAGCAGAAGTTGGCTGTGACTTCAAGTGAGTTTTACAGTACTGTTTAAATATCAGCAACAATGGATTTTGTAGTCAACTTCAGATCTCTATGTAAATTGTTTTTTACTTCTAGCCAACAGACACATTTGACTTTAAAAGATCTTGCTTCAGTGGCTACTGCTAGAAAGCATAATAGCCATAAGCACATTATTTTCTTTCCTGTTTAGCACTTACTCTGCTATAGAGACCAACATAGCTTTGAGAACTATTAAGTTTTGGTGTCTATACTACTATAGACAATAAAAATTCTCTTCTTGTTAATTAACTTAGTTTCTACTGTCTTTTCTCTCTAAAATAGCAAGCTTGGATAATCTTTCATAGAACTGAATCTACAGTCACTCATGCCTCTATGCTTCCCTCTCAGCAGCCAATTTACATTGCTCACAGTTGGACTGGCAGCTAGGTGAAGAAGTGGTTGCCTTGGTGTGAAGTTATAATTATTAACATTAACAATTTCAGATGTGAAGTGCAAAAACTTTCCTTTACAAGCACTGTCTACTATCACATTGTCATTGCCCATGGCTGCATTTGTTAATTAAGTAGCAAGATATAGCAGAAGGCTCTACACTGTTGATTATTAATGCATGGCTTGGGTGCATAGAGGGAAAAAAAAACTCTGTTATCATCAAATTGGTGTTGTCAAAGAGTTCATCACTTTGTCCTACACAGCAGCATTGTCTAGAATGCCTGTGATTTCAAAATGGACATTTTAAAAGAAAAAACTTTACCTTTCCAAAAAGACAGTTTGGAACTTTCTGGTGACTGGCAAAAAAACTGGTTGGACAGCCTGGATACAAGGTCAGAGACCAGAAATTCAAATCTTCATTGAGCCTCCCAAGGAAGGGGACAAATAAGATGACGTGCGGTATACACTGCTGATGGGTGTCTGTGTGTACGTGCCCTGTCACCTGTTCAGCCTTGGGCAAGCTGCATGATTCCAGAGGAACACCAGAATTATAGATTAGTAAATTACTTGAGTGTACATAATACCAAAAAAGCCCCAACAGGGTCACCTTGAGCTGGAATCAATTTGATAACACATAATTATTAATAAATGACTGCCAACAGTGTGTAATCTTAGACATTATTTATGGTGACTGTATGTATTAACTGGAGTGCCATTTCAGGAACATTTCACAAGTTACTATTTCAGAGTGAAGCTCAGATTTCAACTGCCAATAAAAGATCGGTATCTACTCCTATATGTTGATAGTTTGCTCAAGTGCTATACAGATGGTTAGGAGTAGAAATAAATATCTGATCAATACGATTCACATCCAGGCATCTGAAAAGAGGCCAACCGTACACAAAAACAACCATTGTTTAATGTAGAGAAACACAAACCTAACATTTACATCTGCAAATTCTTCATGGAATCCCATTAAAGCTTCTCTGAAATTACTGTAATTCCCCAAGGAAAATAGTTCTGATAACGAAAGTATAGCCGAATAGTTTTAATCAAAGGCAAAATAACAGATTCATACATATCAGTTCTGTCACATCATCTATACATGAGGAGTCATTTATGGGAGTCACTTGCCTTATAAAAGATCACACAAATGGAACTGCCAGGGTTTTGTATTATCAGTACACAATAGTTCTGCATGAAAATCATATTGCAGGGGCATTATTTCATAAGAAAGTCAATTGGCCAATATTTCCACATAACCCTTTCTTAGACAGATAATGGTACATGTCATGCTAGAAATGACTTCAGTTCATTCTGCTGAGGGCTTCAAAGTAGCGACTTTACTAATTTATCTCAGCTGCAAGAGCTCCAAGCAGCCTGGGGTGTTGAATAAACAACAGGACATCCTAAATGTGCCCGGCTCCCAGCATTAGTATCCTCTGCCCCCATGTTCCCCTGGCATGTGATTCCTGTCTCTGTACGCATGAATGAGGAATATAGGATCCTTCCATGACTTTCTTCCTTTCAAACAATACCTTTGCACTATTATTATCATGTTACCTTATTAGGGTGGTTTTGAATAAAAAGAGCTTAAGGATATAGGACAAAATGGCTACATACCACTAAAGGACTGGTTAATTGAGAGCAGTTCATTCCTGTCAATGCTAGAAATGAATTATTTATGATATTTAATTTGCCATAGTAAATGCATAGGAAAAGACCTAATTAAGGGTTTGGCATCCTATTGTGCCATCTACTACATATGTATGATGAGCCCTAATTAGTCCCACTGAACTCAGTGTAACAAAGAGACAGAGGACTCAGGTCTTGCCTGAAAATAAGCTCAAGAACAGCCACAGATTTTTTTTTATTTTTAATTATAATTCTTATACCCAACAAAACACCATTGTCATGGTTACATGATGCACTATTACTTTTTTTAAAAAGAGCCCCAAAACATTCAGCAAATGGAGTAGCATCACAAATCTTGGATTCTTTAAAGAAAGAATCAATCAATCAATCAATAAATAAATCTCAAGCACTTTATGCAACTGATCCTTCCTATCATGTTTTGATAACCTCAAGCTTTAGTATCAGCAGAGCCACAAAGTGTTAACTAGCAGTCTACAGCCTCAAACTGCCTAGAGGAAGGTTTAAAGATGTATTTTTATATCTAAAGATTCTGTCCAAAGTTTTTTTTAATGGGGTTTTTTTTTGAGAGAGAGAGAGAGAAAATTTCAAAGCCATGCCAGAACCCCAGCATTTTTTTGATGAGGAGAAAGCTGAAAATTGACAGGTAGAACGCAATAAATTTGATCTATTTGCAGGCATGTTTTTACACCTGATCATTTAAAAGGTAAAATAAATAAATTGTCTGCCACACTGCATTCATTTGAATGCATCTTATAATCAAACTTACAATCACATCTTTGTTGTCCTTCTGCAAGCAGGTAAAGAATTTCTCTTCAGGCAGGCTTTCCCTTAATGACTGGCTGCCTGAGTGGGGTTTTTTAATGAATAGTTGCACCTTAGTGCTTTGAACATGTTTTTGGTGTTGCTTTTGTTTACTGTCTTTTATACTTGATGATTTTGCCATGATCTTTTATTACTGTTTTCCCATGTCTCGGTCTTCTAAATACTTGGCTGCAGTTTCCAATTAGTTTGATGACTGAACTAAGGTATACAGATTCTTTTAACAATTTCAAATTCTTTCTTTTCTTTAAATTTACATAACTCCTCTGAAGTCATGATTTTTATCTTCCTGTTTATGCACTTGATTCTTTTACTCTAATCATAAGTCATTTCAAGACATTGCTGCTTTCTGACAGCAATATGGTGTCACTTGCATATCTTAAATTATTGATGTTTCTTCCACCAGTTTCCATCTACTGTCATCTGAACCTAATCCAGCTTTCTGTATGATATATTCTACATACAGATTGAATAAGGGAATAAAATCCACCCTTATCTTACACCTCTGCCTATAGGAAATCATTCTGCCTCTCCATATTCTGTCCAAAGAGTAGCTTCATGTCCACAACACAAGTTATGCATCAGGACCATCGAGCGCTGAGGCATGCCCATTTTTCAGAACAATCCATTATTCCTCATAACCCACATAGTCAAAGGCTTAGTTGCTGTAGTTTATAGAGCACAGACTGGACACAAGCTGAATAGGAGCCAATAGTGTGACGTGGCTGCAAAAAAGGCAAACACTATTTCGGCTGCATTAACAGAAGTATAGTTTCCAAGTACCAGTTCCTCTCTATTCAGAACTAACTAGGCCTCATCTTTCCCCTTCACAGATTGCTGCCTTGTCGTGGCACAGGGGCTTGAGTAATTCAGAGAAGCTATGGGCTATGCCGTGCAGGGACACCCAAGCCAGACAGGTCATTGTGGAGAGTTCGAACTGAACGCGATCCACCTGGAGCAGGAACTGGCAAGCCACTCCAGTATCTTTGCCAAGAAAACTCCATGAAGAGAAACAAAAGGCTAAAAGATGTGACACTGGAAGGTCAGAAGGCGTCCAACATACTCCTGAGGAAGAGCGGAGGACAAGTACAAGTAGCTCGAGAGCTAATGAATGGTTGGGCCAAAGCTGAAAGGACGCTCAGCTGCGGATGCACCTGGAAGTGAATGGAAAGTCCGATGCTGCAAAGAAAAATACTGCATAGGAACCTTAAATGTAAAATCTATGAACCTTGGTAAGCTGGATGTGGTGAAACAGGAGATGGCAAGAATAAGCTGGATGTGGTGAAACAGGAGATGGCAAGAATAAACATTGACATCCTGGGCGTCAGTGAACTGAAATGGACAGGAATGGGCGAATTCAATTTAGACGATTATCAGATCTATTACTGTGGGCAAGAATCCCGTAGAAGAAATGGAGTAGCCCTCATAGTCAACAAAAGGCCTACTCCAAGCTGTACTGGGATACAATCTCAAAAATTTTAGAATGATTTCAAAACAGATCCAAGGCAGACCTTTCAACATCAGAGTCATTCAAGTTTATGCACCAATCACCAATGCTGAAGAGGCTGAAATTGACCAATTCTATGAAGAATTACAACACCTTCTAGAACTGACACCAAAGAAAGATGTTCTTCTCATTATAGGGGACTGGAATGCTAAAGTAAGATAAAAGGAACAACAGGTAAGTTTGGCCTTGGAGTTCAAAACAAAGCAGGGCAAAGGCTAATAGAGCTTTGTCAAGAGAACAAGCTGGTCATCACAAACACTCTTTTCCAACAACACAAGAGGCGAATTTACACATGGACACCACCAGATGAGCAATACCAAAATCCGATTTATTATGTTCTCTGCAGCCAAAGATGGAGAAACTCTATGCAGTCAGCAAAAACAAGACCTGGAGCTGATTGTGGCTCTATCATCAGCTTCTTATAGCAAAATTCAAGCTTGAACTGAAGAAAGTAGGAAAAACCACTGGGCTAGTCAGGTATAATCTAAACCATATCCCTTATGAATACACAGTGGAAGTGAAGAACAGATTTAAGGAACTAGATTTGGTGGACAGAGTGCGTGAAGAACTACGGATGGAGGCTCGTAACATTGTACAGGAAGCAGCAACAAAAACCATCCCAAAGACAAGGAAATGCAAGAAAACAAACTGGCTGTCCAATGAGGCCTTACAAATAGTAGAGAAGGGAAACAAAATGCAAGGGAGATAGGGAAAGTTACAGAAAATGCAATGCAGACTTCCAAAGAATAGCAAGGAGAGACAAGAGGGCCTTCTTAAATGAACAGTGCAAAGAAATAGA